TATTATAGATATGTTGATGACGTTCTGTTGTGCCCTTGACGATTCTCAGATTGTATGTAGACACATTAGACTCTTTTAATTCCTGTAACAAACATTTGCAGTTCACCTGTGAGTATGAGTCGGATGACTCTATTAGTTTTTTAGACTTAAGAATCACTAAAAATAAAGTAAACAATTCTGTCCTGACTGAATGGTATCAGAAACCAACGTGGTCAGGAAGATATTTAAATTATTTGTCCTTTCATTCGCGTTCCATTAAAATTTCTGTCATTATCTCTCTTATAGACAGGGCTATTTTACTAAGTAACAGTATGTTTGGGGAAAAAAATTTGACTCTTATTCGTTCCGTTCTCAAAGACAATAGTTACCCTTCGCACTTGGTCAACAACATCATTAATAATAGATTAATTTATTTGCAAACTAATTCTAATAATTCATTTTCACCTTATTGTTCAAATTCAATAGCTTCCTCTTCCGCCCAATACAAAGGAACTATCTGTTTACCTTTTTAAGCAATTTTTCGTATTTTTAAAAAAGTTATTTTCTTCAGAAGGATTCCGATTAGTTTTTAGTTTTGATAATACGTTTAATTGCCTTTTTTCGGTTCTTAAGTCTAGAACCCCGTCTGATAGGGTCACCGATGACGTATATCGGTCGAAAATTGGGCGATAAAGTCCAAATATCGGAATTGACGAGGCGAGCACTGACTATCCTTCTTCACAAACGCGAACACTATTGGTTTATGGTCAGTAAAAATTGTAAAAGTTCTTGCCTCAACATGTGACGAAAGTATTTCACCGCTTCATACACTGCAAGAAGTTCACGATCGTAAGTTGCGTATTTTCGTTCCGTTGTGCTCAGTTCGGGTGGGATAGTAGGCCTGCTTGAGCCAGACTCTCCTTACATGCCTCAAATGTAGCTGACGTATGCGCTGTCCACTCTACCGGGGTTTTGCTCTTCGGATCTACACGCAGAAACTCATTTAACGGTGCTTGAATTTGAGCGGCATTTGGTATGAACCTTCTATGAAAGTTTAGCATGCCGAAAAACCGCCTCAGCTCTTGCATTGTCGCTGGCTTTGTGAATGTCCTAATAGCTTCCACCTTCTCTGGCAAAGGGCGAGTACCCTCAGCCGAAACCTCATATCCCAAAAACTTTACACTTGTTTGGCTGAACACACATTTAGCTGGATTTATTACCACTCCAAATTCCAGAAGTTTACCAAACAGTATCTCTAGGTGCGCATATGTTCTTTCTCGGACGACGAAGCTACAAGAATATCATCGATGTAGGCGTAACAAAAATCTAACCCTTGCAACACCTCATTGATAAATCTCTGGAATGTTTGCGCGGCGTTGCGCAATCCAAACGTCATGTACGGAAATTCATATAGTCCAAACGGCGGGTGTAATAGCGGTTTTCACAATATCTTCTTCCGCCACCGGAATTTGGTTAAACGCTTTCACAAAGTCTATAGTCAAGAATAAAGTTTTTCCGTCCAAGGCTTGAGCGAAATCATGAATATGACGTACCGGATATTTATCGGGCTTTGTTCGCGCATTCAAACCTCTATAATCGCCACATGGACGCCACTCATCACACCCTTTTGGACCCATATGTAGCGGGGCAGCCAACAACTTTTCGATGGACGAGCCGTTTCTAATTTCAGCATAGCTTCTAACTCCTTTCTAGCAACAAGGAGTCTGTCCGGAGCTAATCTCCGCGGTTTTTGAACCACCGACGGTCCAGGACTAGTTTCTATATGGGGCTGCGTCGCGTGCTTGCGTAACCTAACAGCGCCGTCTGGTCGTGTTAAACCAGGAAACTTTTCAAGCAACTTATGGTGCGCCGTTGAACCCGTTACCACCTTTATAGTCGCTATTGATTCCGCTGCAATATCCGCCTGCGCCGTTCCTGTCATAGCATCCGTTATTTGACGATTTTTCACATCCGCAATCAAACTGTAGTATGAGAGAAAACCTACACCAATTATTGGTTGCGTATCGTCTGCTATAAAGAAGTTCCATGACAGGTCGCGACGTAGCCCAAGATCAACCACCATTGCCATCGTACCATAGGTTGCAATCGTCGTGTTATTTTCTGCGGCTAGCTGGTATGCAATCCTCTTCCTATTTGGATTGCATAATAATGAGCGCGGAAACGCTGAAACGTCCGACCCCGTATCAATCAGGTACGACACCTGACTCTTTCTGTCACATAGGCAAACACGGCGGCTTATCTGTCTCTCTGGGCGTAAATCGTTTGCCGCTAATAACGATGGCCCACGAAGTTTTCCGAACGCAAATCGCACGGCGATCAGCATCTCGTTGCGTTCCGACCAAACCGTCTCTTCCGAACCTGACCGAGCGCTCGCGGGCGTACGCGATCTGCGCCTACGACGAAGGGATGAACACCGTCTCGTCGGCGCTCTACCTGCTTCCTCAGGTCAGAAATCTCTGTTCGCATATTTCGCAATTCTGACGCGATGTTGCAGTAAAAATCATCCGCGTGCTACGATGTGCTTGCAATCGCCATTGTTGTTGCACCCGATGCTGTCTACAATTCCATAATTCTGTCGGCGGCTTTCGCATTCAAATCTTTGTCATTATTTTCCCGTACAGATATTAACGCTTGCACATGCGTACGCAATCGCGACGACCACATTAAGTGTAGCATTTCTTTTGAAACAGCTGAACCCGCTAATGAGCATAGGTGCCGGAAAACTGTGATGGGGATCTATTACCCATTTCCTGACCTTCCAACAACTGGCTTAGTTTGTTTCATCGTAGTTTTGTTTCATAGAGATATCTTATCGCGACAATTAACCGGTAATAATTTGAAACGTTTGGCAGTAAAGTCAAATAAAGTTATATTTAAATAGTTTTTTGTACAATCTAATAAGTTTTTTCTTATTAAAAGTTTGAAATGAAATGATTTTCAAATTGCGCTTTGGTGCGGCTTGTGTCCCACGTTGGGAATCACTAGAGTTCATCACGTTTGAATGCTGAAAACACTAAAACAGCGTAAAACACATCTTTTCTAAATTTACCCCTCGTTGTCGCTACCAAGCTCTTCCAGACTGGCGCTGTATAGTTTTATTATTGTTATCCATTGCTTTTTTATTGTATCTTGTCATTGGAATTGGATTATTTTTCCGTAAGAAATTGTTTATCACTTTTACACAAGTTTTTAATAAAGAATATTATGAAGATTAGACTGGCGCTGTATAGTTTATTATTCTTATCCATTGTTTTTATTGTGTCTTGTCATCTGAATTGGCTTATTTTCCCGTAAGACATTGTTTTTTAGTTTTACACCAGTTTTTAGTAAAGTAAAGTATGAAATGATGTAATACTTGACAACATTTATGAAATAATAAAAAAAATATTGTCACTAGAACCTTCACAGAATTTTCTGCTTTTGATTTCTTCATAGAGCACCTCTATATTCGAGTGAACCACAATTGTCATCACCTTCACAATTGGAAGCTGAACGACGAGATGATGAATTGTTTGTAATCAATATTCTATAGTAAGATATTAAAGACTAAGGATTTAGTTTCTTATTACATACACCTTGCCTTTTTGTTCTGACAAAAGAGTTTTCTAAGAAATCCTGATTAAAATTTTGGGTAGGGTAGAGCGGGGCTAGTTGAGCATAGGGGCAAGTTGAGCAATCGAAATATCTCGAAAACTATTCACCATACTTTTAGGCACTATATGGAGAAAAGATAGAGGTTTGGGAATAATAAACATCCCGCGATCGCTAGTGGCCACTGGACAAATGAGTGAGGCTCACGGGCGTTTTGTTTATTTTGAGACCAAAAAGTAAAAAAGTCATTCATCACGAGTTTTCGTCTAGTTTTGTCAAATGTTATTTATTTTTAATAAGGTAAATGTTATTTTCCCATATAATTATAGTACTTTTAATATGCACAGAGATTCTGGGTATAATTCTCACGGTTTTTTTATAAACTCACTTTTATTTTGAAATTCCGAGTTGGGGTTAGTTGAGCATGGTTGCTAAACTTGTTCTGTCACTAAGACAATTACCATTAACTTCCGAAATTAATTATTATTTTTAAGATTTAAGCTAAGTCTATGAGTAATAATTTAAAGAAATAATGATTTTGAACAAAATACTGAATATAATGGTAAAATAATTCCTAAGATACGATATTGTTTTGTTGATTCTACTTTTCGTTAATTATTCAAAGCAAAGTTTTGTTTTCTCTGTCAATAAAGACTATAAATATAGAACTGGCTATTAAAAACTTATTTTATTTCATCATTAATCGACATTGAACCTATGATTTCATTGTACTTTCTTAGTGCTCAACTTACCTCACCTATGGGGTACATTGAGCCTACTTGACTTTTTGCATTTAAACAGCTGTAGCTTGTAAATTTTACTTATTACCAAAAAATAGTATTAACACTTTTGTTAAGCGATAAACAACAAATTCATTAAGCCGTATAGCAATTTATTGAGACTTTCCATTGGGGAGCTACATCTGTTTAAGTAAAAATTTGCTCAACTAGCCCCGCCCTACCCTACGCAAATAATTAAACCCATTTATTAATCGGATTTTTTCTCAAATATGTTCCAACCTAATCAGGTTAATATCAAACACTATAATTAAATGTATTGCATGCAATGAAACATTTTAAGGCACATTTAACCTATGGCAGGAAAATTATTAATTCACTTTCATCAGTATCAACTTAACAGTATCAGTCAAAATTTACGGAAGTAATAAGTGACATTACGTAAATTTTCTTACTCAAATAAACTTAGCTTTTTTTATCTAAGATCTATATTTATTAATTGTGGTTTATTCAGGTTATCAAAAGAAACTATCGCTAACGAATATGGTTTATTTAGTTGATGATAATCTATGAGTGTTCTAAAGCTTAAGCAGTTAATATGATATTCAGTTGTTACGGGAGCACCCACAATTTACATTGTATTTTCGTTCTTGGATAAATTTGTAAATTAATCGACTATACAACACATTGGCAGTGGCGTCGGAACCGCGTGGGGTGTGTGGGCTTGAGCTGAAAGATCAATTTCAAAAAAATAGATGGGCTAATATCTCTAAAAAAAAAAAAAAAAAAACGAGACCGCTGGCTGTCTATCCTGATAATGTTTATCATAGATGCTTTTCATTATAGATTTAAAAATGCAATTGGTCTAAAATCTTCGGCATATTTTGCATCTTTTTTTCAAAATTAATATTATTATCTCTTCATTAAATTTTTATTTATTTTGTTCGGTTTGTTTAATAACTCATTAGATATTTTAACCAGGAAAGGTGTTAAAATATCCTCATACTTTTGTTAAAATTCGTATGGTATGCCAACTATCCCAGGTGTCCTGTGCTTACGCTCGTCTTGACCGCTTTCCGTACTTCTTCCGAAATTTCTTTTCTTAATTATTCATTACAAATAATGCTAATATTTTTATTTTATTTCATGAGTATGACATCAATTTCCTTATAATCTATTAGTTTTGTATGTAGAAATTTTTGTATGATTTTCCATTTCTACAATTTTTTATTTAGAATTTTTTTTAACAAATATTTTTTTATTAAATAACAATTTAATGATTTTTTTCTCTCTATTTATTTTTTCCTCTGCTCTTCTTCTGTAATTTTTTCGGTAATTTTTTCGGTCCTTGATCTTATTTTAGTTCCTTCTTTAGTTTTCTAATTGTGGCTTTTGTTTCTTAAATTATTTCCCACATTTCACCATTATTATTGTGATTTATAATTGCCTCATTTAATGCTTTTCAAGAGAATTCCTAGAGAATTTTTTTGCTTCCTAGAGAATTTTATTGCAATGTATTTTAATTTGCTTTTCACTTTATTAAGTATCAATGTAAAATCTATCTTGATGCCGAATCTCATTTAATAAATATAAACCTACGCATCTTTTAATTTTAATTGGTTCAACAATCTTTTTAGTGCTGCGCTATAATTTGCTCTTCGTTTTTGGTCCTTAGCATATAATACACTATTAAAATCGCCTGCGATCATTATATTAGATTTGTTTGGTCCTATTATACTGGCTATATCTTCTTCAAATAACTTCTCCTTTTGTGCACGTTGACCATTACCGGCGTGGCCATAATGACTGGACAGAATTATTCATAGTTCTAACTGTGTATTTAAACTTCGCGCGCGTCGTTCGTACTGTCAGAACGACGCGTTATTGTTATGTTGGCGACATGTCATGCAAGACGCAATGTTCACGTTTTGATATGACTTTCCGCAATACTTGCATATATATTAATCGCTCTCTTGTACATATACCGCTGAAGAGTAAACATCGTATAAAATATATTAACTTATAATCCATCCAGTGTTTCTTTATACCAATGACTTTAAATTTAAATCATCTATGTTGGCATAAGTTTTCATGAAGAATTACATTATTAATTTCAATTCCTGGTCTTGTTAATATGGATGTACCTCTTTGATTTTCATTCATGTTTATTATAACTTGATACGGTTTAAAAAATCTTAAATCATTTTCATTTATTTCCTGTAACAATATTATATCTAAGTCATTATCTGTTATAATTTTTGTCAGTAATATTTTAGTCGTTAGACTTCTAATACCATTTATGTTTATTGTGACAATATTTCTGAATTTATAATTATTCATCAATGTGTGTCCTTAAAAAGAAACTAGTTGAAGGTGCATTTAGCCTGAAGGCAAGTTGCATGAACTTCCCGAAATGTGTAAATAATATACTTAATCGATCCAATTTTAGAATAAGCAACTTGATCTGCCTTTAACAATATTTTTTTATTTTATAATTATTAAGAAATTTATATTTATCACTATCATTGATTATAAAAAAAAAATATTTTTTATTCTTTTTTATTATTTTTAATATAATAATCTGAATACATAAGTGGTTCTCATTGTGACAAAATTGTATCGACGCATACGATTATTTTTCCAAATTGTAGAAAACGATGATAATTATTATAACTTGATTAAAGTAAAGAATTTCTTGGTCATTTCACGACCTTGGAGACGAAGTATATTTTCTAGGCAGAGGCTTCATATGTTTTTGATTTTTCAAAATCGGTTCGGTAGGATGAGCTTAAATGTGGACGAAAATTTAACACTTTTTTTCAACAGTTAATTACAAGAAAACGGCTCGGTAGATTTTCACCTAAAATTAATCAGTACCATTCCTAACTAATATCTTTCGAACAGTTTTCGATTTTTCAAAATCGGTTCGGTAGGATGAGCTTAAATGTGGACGAAAATTTAACACTTTTTTTCAACAGCTAATTACAAGAAAACG